GCATTTCATCTGGCACRCAAAAGTGAGGAAAAAGGCAAAGTACTTAACCGAGCAAATGATACYAACCTTAACAAATGCATTGCTCATAAGGCTGCGTAACTCTCAACACCACCAGGACTGCCTAGCACTTGGAAACTGAAGGGGCACTTGCCAAAACAGCAGAGCTCGGCTGGTGCAGGCCGCCCTGCCAGGCAGGGGGGATCTACGCTGCCCTAAAGTTTATACCCCACCACGAAGCCACGCCACTAAGGCAACGCAATGAGGAAAACCGAGCTGACAGTAGATTACGTTGTGATCTGATGAGGCATGACAAAACCCAGAATTCCTTAAATTAGGCTTTTATTTCAGACTGATCTCAGTGGAGGCCTTGCTTGCTGTTCTCCAACGTCCTTTCGGCACGAGGGTACACCGAGTAAGGACACACACATGGTCATTAGCTGTGCTCGTTCACGGGCTATAATTCTTGTAAACAATAGATAAAAAATATTTTCCTTGAACTTTGAAATAATTCTTTCACTTCTATTATCATTAATAATTCTGAAAACAGTCTGCAGTTCAAGCGCTCTTTAAAACACTGGTGTTCATCYCCTGACAGAAGGATTCAAACCAACACCATAAATGGGAAAACCACAGGTTCCATAAGAAACACAACTGACAGGATGAAGCAGCACACGTTCAAGCCACTGGCCTTTTAACAGGAGACTCTATTATTCTTATTCCTGCCACAGAAACTGTACTTACCAGCCTAAATCTATGGGTGTCTACTTTTTTCTTTTTGGGTCGTTTTTGTTTTTTGAACTGAAAATGTAGCTAGGAATTGCCTATGCAATCAGACAACAGTAACAACCAGGAAAAGCACGTGGCATTTCAGTTCTTACAACCTAGCAGACACTGTCTCTGCATACTTCATAAAGCCAACATAACACGCATATACATACATAACATACATAATATGCATACTTCATAAAGCCAACACCATCTTTAACCACTACTGACTTCACACCACCATAAAGGTAGGTCAGCCTTTTTACTCAATAATTTACCTACCAGGGTTATAATGTTATCCGGAAAATTACTAATATTAAGGAAGTTGCCTCAACGTGAATATGAGAATATGAGGAATTCATATTCTACAGCTGAAAACAAATGAGCCATGATTTGCTTCTTGCTCTGCACTGAAGAGAATGTCATTTCTTCTTTCCTTTGCCGCAGGAGATACTTCTGCACGCACTGGATCCTTCACCTGGGACCTTGCCTTCTCCTATTTAGATAAGCCTAATGCAACACAGTGGCAGCGTTAACGTTTTACGGAGCGCTGCTCGGGGTTGGAAGCCTTCCTCCTGGAAGCTGGGCCAAGGAGGGACGCTCACCCCTACGCGGCCAGCAAAACCCTTCTCCTTTGAAGCATTTTTATGACCAGTRCAAAAGATGACAAAAACCCACAACCTCAGCTGAAGTACCAAAAAACAGACTTAAGATAACAGAGGCATTATACTACCTGCAAATACAGCYACCGAGTTCTCTCTACGCTCATCAGAAATTAATTTCATAATAATACTGCAGCTTTGACATTTATGATTCAAGAGGATTTGGGCACGTAACAATTCTACAGAGAAGCACAAGTTATAAGAATGTGTAATGATGCCTGACTTGTTCTAGAGAGCTGGTGTAAAAAAACTGGGGATGATGAAAAYGTACTAAGAATTTGCGACAGCAATTTCTGTAACATTCTGGATCACTTGGGAAACCTCCCAGAGCGCATCCCGATTTCCCGGGCTACGAGGACTGTGAAATAGAAGAACACAGAAGAAAACAGAAGTCCTGTCATATAAGAGCTCTTGGAACATGTAAGACTTATTTTAAACATTCAATTCAAATACGAATTAAGGGATAACTTAACAAAGACCAGGCTTCAGCAACGGGAACAACCTGAGAAACCAGTGGCTTCAGRAACAAGTAACATCAGCTGAAGAAGAGATCTTGGCTGCTACAAGGCAGCAGCTTTGGGCAGCATAAGGCAATTGCCCCTAAGCAGATCTAGTTGCAGTCACAACACCCAATTTCAAGAGAACATTAAGATGAAAGTTAACTGTAAATATATCCTCCATTTCTGAGTATGACAAGAGGCATCATTATCTATACTTTTTGGGGGAGTTAGAGGATGGATTTAATTTTTAATCCTCACTTTTCAGTATGACTTTGAAGCAGTACCATTGAATTGCTGAATAAATTATTTACATTTCTCCAAAGAAACACTTTTTGGTCAGAAAAGAGCCACTTAGCTTATCTACATCTGCTGCTGAGTTTCATCTCTTGAATAAGTAAAAACAATGAAAACAGCCACAGTGAGATTATTTCATGCCAAAAACCACCCCCCAGAGTAGCTGCAGGCCCAGGAACAGACCTAGCCAGGTGGGATCTTGCCGTGGAATAAACGGGAACACAGGGACCGTCACTGCAGAGTCACCCACGTGCTTCAGTTTCACACCCTGGCTTGGCTTACACGCGCTCATTCATGAACTTGTTACGACACCAGGAGAATCGTTCACGTCTCCAGGAGGGTTTTCTCTCTCACTTCCCTCTTCCATTTGATCTCACTAGCCGGAGATAAGGCTAGTCCTTATCTCTAGGCTACTGGACCCGAGGAGGGCCCTGCAAAATGGAGCTCCGGGATTTAGACACTGCTTCTACCATAAATAAAATACTAAAATACAGACGATACAAGCTGATCTTTGCTGTACTTTTGAAATATTGGAACGCCCTATGACGACAGCCTCAAGTGCAAGCAGCTTAAAATTCCCTTTACCGCCATATAAGGGAGACGGGGTATTCCTTAAATGTGGGTACAGAGGAGAACCCACCAAAGGTTGGTTCATCCTTGAAAACCARCCTTTGGGATGGGGGCTCTTCATGCTCACGGATACAGGGAAAGGCACCGTTGTCCCTTTTCAACAACAAAGGCACACGCAGAACAAACCTCTCCGGGTCAGGCTTTTCCTGTGCTCTTCTTCAGCAAGCAGCAGCCACTGGAGCTGAGACAGGGCTTAGGATTTGCTGGGGTTTAAAAACCAGCTACTACATCAACAGAGAACAAAGGCATGATCTTGTCAAACATTTCCAAGCCCAGGTCCAAAATTGCTTGGTGGGGCCCCTCCATAGCCAAGCAGGCGAGGTTATTAAAGATGTAGGTTGATTTYTTAATTATCCTTTGTAACTCTTATTAGTAGTTCTGAAGGGCCTTCAGATCACAGGCTGAAAACCTGACACAACAGAGAGAAAACACCTCACTAAAAATTACACTGAAGATAAACCAGGCAACTCTGATGTAACTGTGGTCTAAAATCTCGCACAGGGCACCAGCGTGCTTTCCATTTCTCAGGAATGGAAAGTCCCCACCTCCAAAATGCTCATTATCAATGCAAATCAGAGGAAAAAAAATAAAAAACCCCACTAAAATGGGGAAGTACCATCCCCACCGCAGTAATGCGATAAAAAAGGAAAACATATTTGCTATATTTATTATTTTCTCCTTTACTCATACTGAGAATACAATTACAAATTATGCACAGAATACATACTGAAGAAAAACTTGATTATTTAAGATACAGAGTATTATTAACAGAAATGTATTTACCTGGAAAAGTAAATGCAGTTTAGGTATACTAGRAGCTTATGTTTCCCTATTCACAAACAGAAGTATAATAACAGAAATAGCCAGAAAAGAAGTAGGCTTTTCCTTGCTTGTTTTTAAGAGTCTTTCCTTTTTGTGGTATTGCAGCTGTTAGAAAACTATTGTTTCACCAGCCTTTAGCTAAAGAAACAAGGTCAAGAATTACTCAGACGCAATTTAGAAGGGAACCCATGTCAACAAAACCCTTGTTACCTTCTGAAAACAAAGGCAACAATCCTCTTCAACCCATGAATAGGAAAAAATATATACATGGCAGAGGGAATAGAGAGGGGCAGTTAATTTTATCATTATTCATTGCAACTTACCATTTTACAAATCTCTGATTTGATATAGCAACGCTTTAGGAGTCATTTTTTWAAAAAAAGATTTATAAGATTTATTGGGTTTGCAGAATTCATTTTGTTTGGAATTTTCAAGGACAACTAAGGGAGTCACATAACTAACAACCATGGAAGGAAAAATCTTTCAAAGAAAGGCTACACAGCTTATTACATAATATCTTCATAAACCTAATTTTAAAAGTATTTGACATATTCATACCCTCAGATTATTAACAAATGAGCCAAAGATTTCACTACTGAAGTACAGAGGGGGACAGGATATCAGACATACAACATTTCTACAGATTACTGTTTTAAAATACTTGAACTCTTTGTACTCAGAAAAACACTTCAGGAGCTTGTAAGTGCTACCTGAAAACAACCACAACGGAAAACACCTCTATGAAGGAATTCCATCCAATAAATGTGCAACTGATACAAACACACGGTTCAGTTTGGTCTCTGTGGAGGAAAACAAACCTTACTCTTCATGACATCGTATCTCACAAGGACGAGGTGCTACAGAATTGATAGATACGGACCAAAACATCCAAATCACTCTTTTCTCCACCTTCAAGAGAAATGTTTGCTTAGTAAAGTTTCAACAAAAAGGCATATTTTAAAATCTAAAGCTGAAACTACATTGTTTTTTACAGCTTTGTTTCACAAAATGAGCTTCAGGCAGATATTATACAAACGTCAAACTCATTTGAGCGAGAAACACTACATTAAGCTAATAAATAAAGGAGTGAGCCATACATTAAAAATGCAGTAAGGTTTGAAATATTTCTCATTTCTTTATATAACCTAAGAGATGTGAGAAACTATAGGAAGGAGCTAAAAGAACCATGTAGTTACAGCTTAATATTGTATGTGGGTCTGGGTATACTATTACTCTGGTAACTTGGGAAGGACTTTTACAATAATATTTTTTTTTCAACTGAAATAGAAACAAAATGCTGTAGCACATTTMTTTCTTTTCATAAATAAAATACCTTGGTCTTGTATTAGGATACATTTTTCATGTTCAAGAATCTAAAATTCATTATGCAAGGCCTTTTCTAATCACAATAATTTAATAATTTAGCAGTAGAGACGTGTGTCTACACATTGTGTTCCAAGTCAGGTTAAGTCAGAAGTAGCTTGGGAATGCTTGGGAAATTAGTGTTTGAGCTGAAATGAATGAATCCCCCTTTCAAAAGGGCAAACAGGAGAGTGAGTATAAAAAGCAAACAGTATTTACAGCTGCCACTGCCTGCACCAAGAAGAGAATTCCCAGAAGCTCAGAATAAGGTTAGAGCAGAGCCAAGCTCAGTGCACCAGCTCGGGCTGGTTTTCCACGAAGGGAAGCACCCCGCTGACGTAGTAAGCGATCCCGAGGGACAGGAGGGCGATGACGATGATGAGGAGCAGCACCCTCCAGAAGCCCAGGTCCTCCACGAACTCTTGCCACGTGGTGCGGAAGCTGGACAGGACTCCCTCGCCTTGCTGCAGGTTGGGGTTCAGGAGGGAATGGCTCTCCATGGCACTGCGAAGCATCGGAAACACAACACACGAGAAAACACCTTGGAACAGGGCAGTAAGCCTGCTAAGAGCAGCTAAAACACCCTAATGAAAACCTGAACCCACTCTGAGATTTATAGTGTTGTCTTCGCTCAATCAAGACAGGACTCCTAACTCAAAACCCGAATTATTTGAAAAGATATTTATTAACTTGTGTGATGTCTGCTGCACACAACGGAAACGACAACCAAGAGAGGTGCTGAACTATGTGGTAAGTTTCACTACTCTCCTGCATTTCTTTGTSACAAGGCCTCTTCTCCAGCATAAACATGTCAGATAATGAAGTTCTGAAACGTTCTGCTCACACTGCTGTGCTCTCTGCCCCGCAGCACCCAGCAACTGCTCTGGTGCTTTCACATTCTACTGCCAACCCATCGSGTCCCCTCAGACCTGAGGCTATGAAGTAGGAATTGGAGCTCTTGCGTTTAAATGAGACAAAAACATGAAATTAGACTGTCAGAGGCATCTTGGCAATGAATCATCTGGAGGAAAAAAACGTAAGCTGTTTTGAATGCTGCACGACTTCTTGTATCGAGCACCCAACTCTACTGGTTTCACAAGTGATTTATAAAACCATCTCCCTGTTACCGTATGACACATCATAAACGCTAGGAAAATTTTCTCCTCGCTGGATTTCATAAACACTTATGTACGATTTTAGTCATGCACATAAGTCCTGCTGCTTCTCACTTGAGTGCAATTACCTGCAGAAGTGTTTACCTGACCCGGCTCTGGCAGTGCTGAAAGGAAACGGGGAAGCTGCCGTGTATCCAGCAATGTAAAGCAGAGGGTAAGCAGAGTAAAAATGTTTTTTCCTCTCTTCTAATTGCTTTCAGTTACTATATTCCCTAGGTACCTCTTACTCCTGTAATAGGACAAGGGATTTCAGGGAAAAGCAATTTCCTAGTCAAAATCAGATGAATAAATGCTATTGTTCTCAATGACAACAACAAATTGACAAAACACTGTTATTAGGAACAAGTCTCATTTGTGAATCTCTCTTCTACTAATATACAGTAGGAAAACTTTGCAGAAGAACTTCACACCATTCATCTGGATTTGTTTCTTCCAAGGAAGTAGAGCCCCTGAAGAACAATTAGACCGAATTCCCACACTTGGCTGAAGTACTATAGGGTCACGTGCAACAGCAGCAGCAAMCCAGAAATTGCGCATTAGGCACTTGCTTATTAAAACTTGTTTTTTACATATTTGCATGTCTGCTTTGCTGCAAAGCTTATTTTAGCTTGCAGGAATTAGTCATCTTCCTCACTTATTACGACTTCCCAAGCAAAACAAAGGGCTGCACAGGAGAGGCTATTGGTGTCCAACAGCACTAGGTGCTCGTTAAGTACTCACTAGTTAATGCATAACCACAGAGGGGATAAGGAAAGGTGCAAGGCAATTTAAATGAACAGATCACACACTGGCTCATTAAATAGAAAGGGGTACAGGGAAAACTTTTTTTCGTATTTTATACTACAGCCAAATTCATGTAATTCGGGCTATTTTCCTTATTATGGAGAATTGCTAATGCAGCACTGCATATTGCAAAGGAGTTGGTGCCACAGAGCAGAGGTGGGCTGGAAGCTCCCACCTGGGTGCCCTGTGGTGCCCAGCCTGGTCCCGCTGGGCTGTGCAGGTAACGGTGGGGTTCGTGCTCAGAACAACCGTTACCTTTCCACAGGTTCATATATGATGGAAGAGAATGAAGGAGCGGAAAAAGAAAATGAAAAGAGGGCTGAAACACTTCAAGCATCTCTAAAACAAGCTGAAAACGAGAAAAGGGAGGAGTGAAACTGCAGAGGTCTGAAAAGCCAGCTTTTACCAAGACATTATTTACTTACTAAGCAAACTTGCTGCTGCCAGCATCCATTAAATGCTCTTTCTAAAGTATTCCTGACATGTTCAACAGCTCCCAGACAAGCAGGGCAGCGCCYGGCTCCCGGCTCTGCACCTCTCCCCAGGGAGAGCTGCTGCCTTCCCTGCCAAAGCAAAAGCAACGCGGGAGCAGGGAGGCCGGGCCCGGCAGGGCAGCCGCGCTCGCCGCGCGACGCTGTCCCAACAAAGCTCAGCACTAAAATGGGGCTCAGCTGTCATCCCRCACGTTAACACCGGCAGAACATTTCCGTGCCACAGGCAACTTCCAGGCACACTTAATAGGACTCAGAAATGCAGCAGGCACAAGCTCTAATAATTAATACCAACGTGATTTGCAGAATACTATCTAACTTCACGTTTTAAAATGGTACCTGGGACGAGCTGGAGGTAGGGGATTACCTGATGTGTGATAAAGAACTTCCAGTCTTCTCACTAGGAGTATTTTTAGCATAGTTTCTGCATTATTATTGGTTTCAATTTTCAGATACCAATTTCGTTCAGACAATTTAATTGTAATTTACAGTGAAGACCATGTACTTTTTGATGCAAACTAGACCAAAATCATTGGACAAGACTCCCTGCCTTTCGTATATAATGATGAAAACCCGTGACTGCTGCACCCTTATTAGAAAATATTTAAAAAAAAAAAACAGTATTTGGAAAAATTCAGTATGAGAGCAAGAATTTCAAACAATGTAATAGCCTGGCTTGCAAAATATATATTTTGGAAAACAGTACTGGAAAGGATGTCTTCTGCTGTTAATCTCACTCCCACATTTTGTCATGTTTACTTGCAATTCGGTGGTTTCCGGATTAGTCTCCTTTAAAACTTGCAAAGTTTCTTGCCTCATCCAAATCCTGGGAGAAAGTTCTCTTGGAACCTCATTGTAGAAAAACGCCCTCAATTTTCAATCAAAAAAATTTTTTTTTCCTCTGGCTCTTGTGATAGATTCTTTTGTCTTAAACATTTRTTTTGCATCTTAAAAACAGTGTTTCTAGATGTGAAGCACAGTCCTCTCAACCTTCACTCTGCCAGGCTAAAACAAGTCATATTCACCTCTTTTTACATGACAGATTTTCTCTCCCTTAACCACCCAAGTAATCTTTCTTCATCCTTATTAAAGGATAAATGCAGCTTCTCTCAATGGGGATAAACAGCACCACAGAACGTATTACACATTACGGAGTTACTGTTGCTTTGGCAAAGACATTTAACAGTGCTCCATGTAGTGAGTCCACCTCACCTWGCACATTCTAGGATTTCATTGCCTTTTTGGGGGTAGCATTACTCCTGTGAGTGAGTAATACACCAAGCCTTTTTTTCTGCACCATCATTTTCTACTGAAGAATTTCCACTTTACAGCATATGGCTTTAAGTAAATAAAGCTGAATTTTGAGCTTAATGAATCACAATTCATTACTACTATTTTCCTCTTCCTAGTCATCCACCTTTTCGTCTAAAACACCCCAAATCTCCTCTAAGTTGCCTATATCTCTTTTTGCAATACCATTAACACATTACCTCTTTCTGAGCCAATACCATAACTTATTATTTCTTAGTTCTTATTTCTTAGTTCTTATAGTATTATTATATTCTTAGCATAGTATCATTATATTCTTATATTATATTATATTATATTATATTATATTATATTATATTATATTATATATATTACATATTATATTATAATATATAATATATAATTTATATTATATCATAATATATCATATCATATCATATCATATCATATCATATCATATCTTATCTTATCTTATCTTATCTTATATTATATTATATTATATTATATTATATATATATTATATATATATATTATATATATATTATTATATTCTTAGTTCTTATAGTATTATTAGTTCTTATTATTAGTTCTTATTATTAGTTCTTATTAGTATTTACATTAATAAATTACTTCTAATACTGTCCTTGAAATTGTCAGCAATTCTCCTAAGTTATCAGTTCTCTACATATCAATAGTTCTTTAGCCACTAAATAATTTTTACTTTATTCTCCGTTTTTTCCAGGACCACTACCAACAAAAATTTCACCTATGACACTATATTAAATACYCAGTTTCAAACGGTGAAAAGTCTGTTCTCTGTTCTTTGTACATATCTATTCTTTGCACATATTCTTTGACATCATCCTAGGAAACCTAGGTTAAACCTAGGTTAGGTTAGCCTTTGATATTGCACTTTGCCCCATTTTCCCTCTGCTTACATGCTAAGTTGTAGAGTATCTGCTTCTTTGGGACTCTAGTAGGAAAGTCAGTAGTTACTAAAGCTGCTTCCATTGGAAAATGATCATCTCAATAGAAAAAGTTCTTTTTCCCTTAGATTTTGTCTGTTTAAAGAATTTTTTCCAAATCCTAATATTTGATTTGGCCTGATAAAATCGGGCTACTTGACATGTGTTTTGAGAGGAACTAATAAGCAAATCAAATCATGAAAATCTGTCAGTAATAAACCTCTGGGAGTACAGACATACTTTACATACACATCATTATTTCTCCTGGTATTTCTTTCTGTTTCGTAAATACCTTTCACTCTCAGCAGTCTGCATGGTTTCCAGCTTAGAGTGAGCTCCTCTGTTAAATCCTTTCACCTCCTGCTCCTCCAAGGACTCCAGCAGCCTAATGACATCTTTGTTGACACCTCTCCGTTTGGCAAGAACAAGGGGCGTTGCACCTTGGTGATTGCTGAAATAACCCAAATAAAAGGGCACGGGAAGAAAAGATGTTCTTAAAATAGAAGTTTTGTGACAACTCAACATAACAGACAGTACTGAACTTCTTAAGTCCTCAGAGCTTTTTTTTGCCATGTAAGAGACAGCAGGCAATACCTATGAAAGGCAGAACATGATCGATTGTAGAAAACAAACAAACAAGCAAAAYGTATATTTCATTTATAAATGACACAACAACAGAAATCCCTAAAGAATTCAGTCTGCCAATAACTAGTTTTGCTGAGCTAACAGCATGGGCAAGGGAGAGACGACAGACTCTAAGGTTTTGAATTTACTACTGGTGTTTTTCACCTGCTGGGAAYGTGCAGAAAAGTCAACAGACAAAGTCATGCAGCATTGAAACAAGCAGTCATTTTGCAGCTTGAAAGCTTGCACGGGAGCACCCGCATCTGACAGCTGTTACAAGGCAGAAGGAAAAAATACACAATAATTAAAAGGAGGACTGAGTCACAGACTTTGGGGAAGGGGAAAACTGAAAGGAATCAAGGTCACCAAACGAATACGGGCATGAAGAAATGCACACACCACTGTAGTCTGTCTTATACAGTGGAAAAACCAAAGCAGCTGAAATGTGGTAAAGAAAATTATTTTAAAGTAATTGATGTCATTTTCTTCTTTGGTCACACCTCACATCTGGATATCCGGCCAAGCCAGAACTGCAATGTCACCAGGGAGGCAGAATTACACAGAGCGGCCAGATCAGCAGCTGCTATTTTTATCTGCTTTGTTTGCTGCACATGACCAGCAAGAGTGAGTGGCCTTTTACTGCTCTCCTGCCTTTTTATTTTGTCTTTTTATTATGCGGCATCTTAAAAAAACTGAACTGTGCTAAATTTAGCACCTCAGCAGCAACCAATTTGTATCCATGGTGCTCTGGAGACTGGACACTAATACATTATAAAAATGGGGCTGTAAATAAAAAAAAGTGACTTACCAAATGTCAATTTTAAGTCCATTCGAAACGAGGAACTGGATGGTATCCACATGGCCACACAGGTGAAGGGCTGTGTTACCCTGGTAATCAGTGGCCAGTAGGTCGGCACCAAATTTGTGCAGGAGCTGACAGATGTCTACATTTCCTCTGGCTGCTGCGAGGTGAAGGCCGGTTCGGCCCCGGCTGTCACGAATATTTGGGTCAAAGCCGCTCTCCAGGAGCCTTTTGGAGTAGTTGAAGTCTCCGTCAATGCAAGCCTGCAGCAGCGGCACGTTGGTCTGTGAAGAGTCATTTACAAAAACGTAGGACATGGTTCTGACTCTCTCTGGGGCAGGTTATAAAGCTGCGAGCAAAAGTGGAAAAAATGAGAGGGAAAGGGGGTAAATAAATAAAATGCAAAGATTTTGTTTCAGGCTTGTGATGCAACAGTGTTCTGGTTAACTATATGCACCTTTTGTAAGACTGCCATATATACCTTTTTATTTTGTCACCTATACGAGGTCTCCTTCCACACTAGTGCACTCACCCCGCTGGGGGAACGGAACCGTGGGCAGCAGCAGGGAATTCCAGTTAAACCTCTCCCGGGTTTGAGAGGTTAGAACATTTCTATCCTTTAGCTCTTATTCCATGCTTTAAATTAAAGATGAAACACCCACAGAGGTCGCTTGGGAATGGTTACAGACCGGCCTGCTTAAGAGCCATACCACTTTGGGCTGTTCAGATTAACAAACTTGATTTAAGCTCCACCAGTCTGTACTTCYCACCTGGCCAGATTCTGCTGCGCGTGCCAACCCTGCCTTGTTTGCCACTGCAGGGACACACAGTCAGCCTGCTCTGTGAAGCACAGAGGAGCAGCTTGCCTGTCCTGGTATGTGCATAACAGGGAGAGCGGGGCTGCCAGTGTGGTTTTTTGCATTTGAGGGTCCACCACCACGTCAAGCACCCTGTTCCACACTCACACACTCGCTGCAGGGTTTGTGCCACCTGGGGCACYACCAGCTTTAAAAGCTTCTTCAGCCCTGCTACAGCAACCTTTGCTTAGAAAAGAGCAGGCTTGATTTCTGTAGGATGTGACCATGACCTTCACATTCTGCACTAAACCTTCCTTCAAGTACGACCGTAAATCATTTTAAAACCTCCAATTAACAGCCGTGTCAGCAGCACAAAATCCTGCTCACACTTGATAAAAAGATGATGGTTCACTTACAATATTTGAAGGCTTACACTTGCTTAGAAAAACAAGGGCTGTCATAAATCACCAGCAGAATACTACACTGAAGAGAAGGGTGCTGCTTGTACAGCACTGCAAGCCTATGTTTGTGTTTTCACACCAGRTGTACGTGTGATAAAGCCTTATACAAGTCTCTCATCATCTTCCCCACTGAATTCTAAAGAAACATTAACACCAAGAAGCCCCCAGTGCCTATGAGAGGGAGCTCAAAGGTTCGTGGTTATCACAAAGTAYAACTGACTCCTCATTCAGTATCTGTAACCAGGAGAATCTGCTATGAAATGAACACTGAGGTGTAGAAGACTAAATGAAACTTCAGTATTTCACAGGAAAAAGCTACAGAAACTAGAAAAAAAAATCCTTCTTGCCAATACTTGAAGACTGTGGGCCAAACAAATACATTTTCCCATTCACACACAAACACACAGAAAGTGCCATCTGGTTTGATTTATTTTTGTAATTTAAAAGACTTTTCTACAAATACACAAACGCAATTCCATTCTACATATGGGCTATCTAACCTCAGCGAGATATAAGCTGTATAGAAAGGTGAAATAAACAATCTTTAATAAAACACCAGTCCCCAAATAACAGCTTTTCCTTCAAATTAATTTAATTTAGCAAAAAAAAAATCTATCAAACAAAAACTCAGAAAAAAATAGATATTTTTAAATAAACAAAATATGGTTACACTGGTACCCACACTGTGTCAGAAAGGCTATTGCTGTAATGACCGACAATTTATTAAGTGAATTAGAAAAGAAAAACTACAAAGTATTAGTCATTCCCTGGAGCAGTTTCTGAAAGGTAATTCACACAGCAACTCTCTATGCAACTAAAAGCTGGGATAGGGACCATTAAGTGCTAATGTCAGAGAGACAATTWGAAGAAGTGAATTTACTGCAGTTAGTATCAAGGCAAAAAAATACTGTAAAAGGCGAATTCTGAATATGCCAAGAAATTACTACTGTTGCAGTCAACATGAACAAACCATTTAATTTCATTCAGTAGATGACAGCTTCCAAAAAAAAAAAAAAAAAAAAAAGTGTCACTATCTGATGAAAATGTATTATTTCTGCAAACAAAGTTTTTATAATTTGGCACTGATGGAAATTACTTCTGAGAAAACGCAACTGAAAGAGGCCCTCTCAAGTGAGCAGAATCTCCATTAAAAAGAAATATTAGAAAATTATTTTCCTAAGCTTATACAATATGGATATAGCCTGATCACTTTTATCATGGTGCTTTTATTATTATTTTTAGAAATTATTCTGAAAGACTATTTTTCAATAATATATATAGGGAGAGAAAAAAATCTAACAATATTCTGAGAAGAAAGAAGGAGCTATCTTGAAAAACATTCTAACATTCTTTCAAATCTTAAACTACCCTTAAACTCGCACTGCTTTTGGACAGTTTTACTTTCAGTAAACAKGTTCTCTTGCCTCCGTGCGGCTCAGCGGGCTCGAGAGCTCTCAAGCAGCTCCAGATAAAGCAATACATGAATGAAATGCTTGAGACAATCACTCCGGGACCAGATTCTCTCACATTCACCACAAAAATACCAAGGGCTACAAGTTGTCCTTAATCACCCAAACGCTGCTCCATGATTTATCACTCCTCTAGACTCCAGGCTTTCCAAGAGCTCACCCCCCGGCCCCCAAATCAGAGCAGTTGTCACTGCTTTAAAGTAGCAGCTCAAAACAACAGAAACAACAGTAGGAAAAAAAAGGTAATTTAATCATAAGGAAAAAAAATGCCTCTGAATGCTATTCAGACATTGAAGTGTGTACCCACCAGCTAGCCCCTTTCCCTTCCTACACAGAGGGAGAAATTCCTTSGTAACTTTTCATATGTATACCTACTTTTATGTGAAACTTAGAGAAGTCTTTTAAGTGAACGTTCTATTTACTTTGAAAACGGAATGATCAATTGTCATTTCTGAGGAAAGACCACCATCACCCACATCTCTTTCCAGTAGAGCTCTTAGTCTTCCAATAAAWCCCTTTACCTCCTCCTCGCAACTGCTCCAGTTGGAGCTCCAGTGGAGATGTACTAGCTTTAACAAGCAGCATCTCACAACCACGACACGTCTTTCAAACCCAGCAGYTTTGCAGCATTTTGCTCTTCCTAACTTTATTGCTTTTTCTAATAGTGCCCGGGGACAAGGTATCACAGCAGGTTCTGTTRACCTGCCTCTTTTTCACGTCTCTGGAAGGACATGGGAGTAGGTGGCAGTGCAAAACCACCACCACTTACTCATTTGCTTAATCATCTTYTCCTCCTGCAGCACTGAAAATGCACATGCGAGATCCCCGGGTATATTCACTTGATGTCAGGACCACACTGTAAATAGAAACTCTGCTGCACTTGTAGACTGCAAAATGCCTTACGAAAAAGTTACAATTATTGATCTTCTTTTATAGTTCTGTAGGCAATTGTTCTAACAAACAGAACATTTGCACAGCATTAAAAAGGAAAAAAGAAATAATAATAATAAAAAAGATCTCCAGTGCCAATCAAGGTCTGCCCAGTCCTTGCCCAGACAATATATTAAATGCACTGTGTATATATGTACACAGAATAAGAAAAGAGATAGGGTAAATAAGGTTGCCAGCTTAGTCCTAAAATAGGACTTAATATTTCTTTTAGCAGAACTTCATTGACAGATTCACAAACATTTTATGCTTACTCCACTTAACAGGCATCTCTGCTGCATCAGTTATTTCCGTGCACTTTATCAAGTACACATTTAAATATTTCTGAATCTTGTCCCTTTCTTTATGTTTTACAAAACAGAATTCAAGGAGAAATTTATAGGTTTCTTTGGATTACCTGTAACTTTAATTTCCAACAAGTACCTCCTGTAAATCAGAAGTCAGATCCTGAAGGATTTCACTTCAGGGCTTCCCTAGTCATTGCYATCAGCTCGACTACAGCTGCTTTTACAGAGGCCACGAAGCCATACACATYTGTCAGAAGAGCCAAGCTCTTCAGAAGCGCTCACTCAAATTCCTTCCTCACTTTACCTGGGATCTTGCAGAGTGCTAAGGAGCATTCGTTCCGTGTTTATGAAGTGTTTGTGTTCAAGTCTGCTGCAGGGCTCGGAGGAGAGGCCAAACGGTAACTGTGCAGGGAATGTGCAGCCCGGAGCCGGGCGCCACTCCGGATTTCTGGACGGGCAGCGCCACGCCGTGGCCCCATCAAACTGCTCTGCACCTCAGCACAGAGCGGGGTGATCAGCCCGGGCCCCACTCACATCACTTCTCCTAGTCCTTTTGGTAGCACTGTCTGTTCTCCTGGGAAGGAAATGATGCAGGCCTCGGAAATAAGCTTTTACATCCCTTGATGTAAGAACTCTGAAATCTGGAATTCCCTTGCTGTGTAGACAGCAATCGTGTTTAAGCTCTGAGCTTATCCTAGTGAAAAGAACACTCTCATATGTGACATGAGTTCTGAGGATAAAGGTAATTCCTTTAAAAACTATACATTTTTGACAGCTTATTTAAATGACAAACTAACAAAAACTTCTTGCACAACCAGTATTCTGAGGATGGCAAGTTTACTAACACAGAGAAACTTCCTGTCCCCCTGCAAAAGTGCTCGGAAGTCAGAGCTTAGTGAGCTTTATTACAGTAATAAAGCAGACATAGAACCAAGACAGCCACAAAATGGCAATTTATAATATAGAGTCCATATTGTCGTAGTTTCTTATCATGTGTATTTTAGCATGTGTGTATTATTCTTTTAAGTCAAACCTCCTAGTCATACAACCTTCTAATGCACACAGCATTAAATCCAGTTTCAGCCCTCACAAACACAGGCCAATTAAGGATGAGAACTCCTAATTTCCTATATTGTTTATATACAACCAATTGTCCCATTTTGCCTTTAAAGTATAAATAATATATTGCTCTTCTTGCTCATCAAAATTGTTAGTGTATGTTACCAAATAATACCAAGGAGAAGACAGCTAACACTGTCAGATCCACAACTCTTACTGTGCCAACAGGATATAGAGGCTTCTGCTCTGAATGTTCAGGTTGACATAGTAGATCACACAACCAGATTATCAAAGTTAAATAGTCAACCAGAGCATTCGCTTCTTTCAGATGCCCTAAATCCCTACCAAGCATAATTACAAATGTTTTTAATTACAAATGTTTTTTTTGTATTATGTATGTAAACATGGTCAGATGAGGTGGTACAACTGGTAGGTTTCATTTTTAATATATTCTATTTTTTAATATTTTATCATGYTAGGCTCAACAATTTTCTCAACATAGGCAAACATGCAGAACAGACTGAAGGGAGTATATTAGCAGTCTAGGGAAACTTCAGTAGYTTAGAGGAAAAGACTCACCTATCACATCTTTGACCAGCAACAGCTACCAGACTGAATTTGATTTGTGGAAGATGAAAGTTTTAATAAAATTGAGAAAATAGTTTTGTTTTTCTGAATTTATATGTTCTTTTTTTTAAATCATGAAAGGTGCCAAACTGACTGCAATAAAAATAAGTATCATATATTTGATCCCAAAGAGATAAGGTATATAAAAACTAAAAGCTACTTATTAGTGCCAGGTGTTAATGATATGCTTGATGTTCCAATACCCAAATCTCATATGTTTTCAGATATCCAGTATTTAGGAACTACTAACAGGAATAAATCAGAAAGGCAAACAAGATGAGTCTAGTAGGAGGGTGGCACCACGCACTAATGAAGGAGCTGGGTTATCTAACAGGATGGTACATCTTGCCTTTTCTTCTCTGCAGAAACTCTGGAGATGCTCTGAATAGGTACCCTGTTACTCTGCATCTCTTGGGAGACACCTCATGTCTGCATCTACTTCCAGTGCTTCTCTGCAGCGTATTAGTTCTGCAGCAAAACATGCAAGAACTTCACGGCTTCTGCAGGCACTGGTTTTTGATAAGTGAAAACAAAACATAGGTATCTTGTTAACTTCATCCTTATGGCTYGGCAAATTAAGGAAGTTCAAGAAAACAATTCTACCATCAGCTTAGCCCAAGTTCACATATGGAAAATTGTCTCAAACTGTTTATATGAACAATTCAGCCTGTTAGCACTGAAAAAAATGCTAATATTAACTCTGCAATCAATCATAAAACTTTTTAATTTGACAAAGGAGGCTTGACAGTCCTGTGCTTTAAATGTTGTTTTTGCTGCATGATTTTAATACAAAACTAAGTTCTCAGCTGATGACAATTAATCTATTTACAGTAGCATCATTCTTCAGCAATCCTTTCCAAATTCAGCAAAACTTTCCAAATTATTCATATCTAATAAAAATATACAATAGAAAAATTTGATTGCTTATTACTTTCAAGTTCAGTTAAAACCCCAAATCTTGTACAAGGGAAACTGAGATACTACTTTTAACAGAACTGTTTTTCCTTCTAAGAAGTTTTCTCATAACTCACTCACATCTGACACTGCTTTCTTTAGTTAAACCATTCACAAACTTTTAAAGACAGAAGGTTGGCAAGATTTTTGCCAATGCATTATTTTAAAATATTTTTATGATATATTTTAATATATATTGCACATATGTTTTTAGAGTATTTATCYATTAATGCATACATGCTATACATATAAACAGCATGTGAGTGTGTTCATGAATATGTGCATGGAGAAGCAGGCATGAGGTGTCCAGGTTCCCGACCTTCCTGGAAACTGGAATTATCAACAATGTTAAGGAAGATGATTGGGAAAAGGTTGGAAAAAGGTGAAACAGATTTGAAATTGTAACTACAGAATCTGAGAGAGAGGGGGGCAGCTCAACTCATGTTTATCAATGATTAGATCCTGTGAGCCTGGAAACAAAAGACCTCACTTACACAGAGAAAAGCTGCACAATTAGATAAAGTATTAGTGTTTACCCAGTTATCTGGTGTCCAAAGAACAACAATGTCAGTGTTTCTTATAAAGGCTTTAACAGATGATTCTCAGCTCTATTAAAGAAAGCATGACCAGAAACAGTACAAAAGCAAGTTGTGTCAATTATTACTATGATTATTACTATGGTAAACAAGAAGGTAACATAAAAATAGTTGGAGTAGAGCATTGCATAGGTCCAGGTAAGCCTACAGCCCAGGTCCACCTAAGCCTACATCCCATTTCAAATAGTGGCCAAAAGCAATGGAGGAAAAAAAATGAAAAAAGCAGAACTCMGTAAACATATGCTGCTCCTTTCTCCAGTCACAATATTCCTCCCTCAGGTGGATGTGGTTCTTGTGTGTTCAGAATCCCTGAGTAGATCTCCCCTAGGAACCTGTCCACTATCCCTCTTCAGGTCACGCAGATTTTTAATATCCACAATATTCTCTGGCAAGTTCTCCAATGCAATTATTTATGTAGAAACACATGCTTTCTACATGTGAAACACACATGTGTTCTACATGTGTTTCACATTAAGGCCTTGCTAGTTTCACTTCCCTAGTTTTTATATTGGAGACCCCTGGCCATTATTTTCATGCCAAATGTCATTTTATAGGCCTTTATCACATCCTTCCAAGGCTTTTTTAGAGCATGACTCCGAGCTTTCTCAGTCATCCTTCTACAGTGAGTGATTTCATGTCTTTGATCATTCTTGTCCTCTGAATCTCACTCATTTTTATGATATGCTTCCTGAGATGGAAGGGGAGGGAACAGAACCGCAYGCAGTATTTCAGGTGTACACTGGACATAGTGGCAGGACAGCATCCTCCACCTCATTCTCTATTTGTTTCTGTTAATACTTATTATTTGATTTACCATTTTGCCCATTCATTATTGTTGCAGTTATGTTTTTATGGAACCATATAATTCCAAAACATTRCCTATTAGTGGAAGCACAGCAATACATGAAATTTATATGTGAAATTAGGTTTCTTTTTACCCTATCTGAAGCACATAATGCACCAAATTTCACCTGCTATTACACTGCCAAGTTATTTTGTCTTACAGGGCCATTTGCAATTTTCCAGCTGACCCTTTTCTTCACCCCCTTAAATCACTCTGCCATCAGCAAACTCCATCACCTTGCTACTCAGCAACTCTCCCGAGATGCTGATGGAAACACCAACAGCGCAGGATCCACAGCAGGACGCTGCAGAACTTCTCCGGTAACGTTGCTCCACTGAGAAGGCTGAGCATCAGTTAAAAGAGAAAAGCCCCCAAAGTCCTGGGTCAAACCAAATAAGCCTAGTCCCAAGGCGGACCGTCCCAGAACTCATTCCATAACCTCCCGTTAGACCGGGATTTGGTGGTTTTCTTCCCAACGTTACTCACCACAGCTCGTCTCCTGGGACTTCCTGCTCCACTCTACAATCCTGGTGACAGCTTCCACTTTTTCAGGGCAGTAACAATTCCTCTTGCTGCATCTACCAAAAATAATAACAATATTAAAAATCCTATTCAATTTACTCTAAAAAGGGCAATTATTTTATCAAAGAGAGAGCTTATCACGAGATAAGCTAATACAGACTACCCTGGACAAAAACACRGTGCCTTTATTCTCCTTTATTCCACATCTCCTTCTGGAAACTCAATTTCCYTACCCCAAACGTGCCGGGAAGGCCGCGACACCCCCGTGCCAGGGAGGGCGGCTGCACAACCTGCCCTCCATGACACCCCCCGAGCGGCGCGGGGACCCGCTCTGCCCTCCTCTCCCTAACCCTGACAACACGTCAAATAAACTCAATAAACAAATGAAATATYTGTTTATCATCCAGGCCCCGTCGCTCCGCGGCGGGCGGCGGGTTTCATCGTTGCGGCCGCGCTCCCGCCCCCGGCGCCGCCATCCCGGGAGGGGTAAAGGGGGCAAACGGCGGAGCCCGCCTCACCCGCGGCCGCCCCGCGGTTCCTGCCGCTCCGCTCCGCTCCG